AGGCTAGATGAGGAGGGTGGGAAATGGGCTGAGGCCTCCGATTTGGGTAACCATGTCTTCTTTATTGGACACTTTGGAAATGTCTCTTGCTCGGCTAAGGAACTTCCTGATGGTTGTGGTCTGAGTGGGAACTCAATTTTGTTCACCAATGAGCCAATTTATGCCTATAAATATGGAGTAAATACATTCTATTGGTTTTCTTTTAATTATATCACAAACAAACTTTAAACTTTGCTTTGATTGTAGGGACTTTGTGATCTCTCTTGTAACCCATTGTTTGGGAGTTTGTGTCTTGTGTCACGGCGATAATGCTGAAGGCTAGATCATTTAGTATTCAAGTCTTAATATTATTTTGTTCTAAACTATTTCCCACAACTTTTTCAACACCACACAACCATGTCTCTGTAAATATGTGCGGCTGTGTTCTTGGTATCACACGGTCATGTGTTTGACCGAAGTTTTTAATTTTGCAAAAAGTTTTTAAAGAAGTATGTTTATTACACAAATTGAAACTTTAAATCTTTATACATAATTTGCCTCTGACCCATCTTTCATGGCTACAAGCTTGAAAGATTATACATAATTTGCCTCTGTCTATCTCTTATTTATGCCTTGGAGCCAAAGTTGTTGAGCCACACAGGAGATGAAAACAGCTTCAGGAGACTTTGATAAGTTGAAGTTCCCTGAATATTACAGGGCATGTCTACGTAAGTTCTTGTCTTATCCAGATCATGCATGTAATTTTTCACTCCTAATCTTTTAAAAGTCAAAATCTCAGTTTTTACTTTTCAGCTGATTGAATATTCAAATAATTCTCATAAATCTACAAAAGAGTGAAAGACGGCTATTAATTTTTAAAATGCTTTAGGAACCGTCTATAAATTTTATAGTATCCATATAGTGAGTAGAAGTAGTACTTATGTTGGAGATAAAAAAAAGTGATTATTTCTGCTTCAATACATACCTATTAATGGAGGATAATTATGGTTTCATATTTTTAATTCCACATCGAACTTCCTCTTATGCCAATAATTCACTTCTTCATCTTCCATTATATTTTTTTTTGCTAAACTGTTAATATCATTAGAAAAATGAAACTGTTTGACTGTTACATAGTAAAGCCAGAAACTAAGAAATCTTGGCAAAAAGAATAAATACAAGATTTCAGAATTGGGAAGGCACACATATTGAGCTTAGGTTAACCATAGCTGCATCAAATCGCGAAAACGCTTCCGATGCCGGCGAGCCGTGATAGTGTTTCGAATATCCCTGTTGATAAGATTGAAAATAGCACCTGAGGAGATATTGGACTGATTGTGGATCACATTGTTTCGCTGCTTCCATTATATTACAATGCTATTGTATACTCTAATGTATGTTTGAGATCTAATGTAGTTACAGAGGCGTGGCTTTTCTTCCGCTAAAAAAGAAGGGAAGAGAAGGGGAATTCGTTGTGATTCTCAATTAAATTAACGTTGTGATGGTGTTAACAAGTGCGGAAATGAAGTGGAAGCGGCTTGAGAACGTCCCATATGCTATATGCTCGGATTTAGTCACTTTTAGAGGAAGATTTTACGCATCCTTTCTTAGCAGAAATACTTTCCTTATCGATCCTTATTCGCTGGAGGTGACTCTCCTTATGCCCTCACCTCAGAAGCCACTAAACTATCTGGTTGCATTTGGCAATGATGAACTTTTCCTTGTTGAGGTAACCATCCCAAATTTTGATGTAATAGATTTTAGCCGGTTCACATGTATAGTGAGTAGGCTAGATGAGGAGGGTGGTAAATGGGTTGAGGTCACCGATTTGGGAAACCGTGTCTTCTTTATTGGACACTTTGGAAATGTCTCTTGCTCGGCTAAGGAATTTCCTGATGGTTGTGGTCTGAGTGGGAACTCAATTTTGTTCACCAATGAGCCAATTTATGCCTATAAATATGGAGTAAATACATCACCACGAGCAACACCGCAAGACTTACAACACTCCTAGAAGCAACTGGAAACTTTTTATACACACTCCCCTCACAGATCCAGCGCCGACGCGCCTTCACCGGAGAGGAGGAGGAACCAGCGGCTGACCTCTTATTTCTCTCTCGCTCTCTCTTTTTTACTATATGTCTCTAACTTACTTACATGAGTTTTTTTTTTTTCATTTTTTTGAAAAAAC